CGCCTCCCCACACGTCGTCCCTGCGGGGTACAGTAATTAAATCTCGGCTCCGAACATTAATATTTCCGTGAATATCTCTGGTGATATTATCTCCGTAGATAGTCGATTCATTGCTGCTCTACGGGCCAAATTATTCCTTTTTCGTCTCTGTTTTCAAAGATAATAGAACAGAAGAGCTTTTTTCCTTCGATCGCCTTCAGCCGCCATGCTTTCTTTACCACGAGTTTAACTGATGAGCATGCGCACTTAATATTTCTCAGGTAGCTTCCGCATGGCGAACGGAGACGCGATTTAATTACTGTACCCCGCAGGGACGACGTGTGGGGAGGCGGAGAGACTATTAAAAGATTAGGCGGTTTTTCTTTCATGTACGTCCGCCATTTTTAGGTCACCGGCTTTGTAAAGCCTGGCTTAATTCGTTGAGAATCCGCTCAAAGAACAAAACCCATGCATAAATGGAGGTTTTTCATTTTCACCATTTATTTCCACCGACTCGCTTCTAGATATCAATTCTCGTACCGTAAATCTTTTCAAACCTTGTTAAGATGGCTGACTACCAAGGTTTGAAAGGGTGCGGTGAATATGATTTTTTTTTTTTTTACTATATCGATTAAGGCCATTTACCTGTCATTTTATGTTTTAAAAGTTATAATTGTCCTCAGTTAAGTTCAACAACTGAGAATGCATTTGAAATCCTGTACTTGATCTCAGCTGTCACCTTGACTGGTCAATAGAACTAAAAACCTCAGAAAACTATTTTAAAATACCACACTAGTCTATCATGATGCAAAAAGGAAGAAAAATGATCAACATTAGGTAAGTATTTTTTGAAGTTTTCATAAAATCACCATATATACACAGCAGAAGTTTCTTAAACAAAACTTGGTCCGCACGCGATAAAATACAAATAAAACTAGAGGATCAGAGAGGCTATACCGCCTCCGAATATTGTACCACCAGCTGGGGTAAGTGCGATCGTATAGACCCCCCCACACACAAAAAAGGGACACCACCACCAGTCTTGTGCTTGACAAGCTGTAAAAAATGCAATCAACAAGAATTCTCAAAATATGCAAAAAAATATATATAACTAAAAATGGTACAATCAAAGTTCAGTTCATAGTAAGATAGGTCAGTAAATTTCCAGTATATGACTTCCTATTCAAGTTCAATAGCAACTATGGACCTATCTCTGCCAGTTTTGGAGATAAAAGGGAACCAAAATTTGTAAACTTTAATTCATGATAAAAAGTAGGTCAAACGTAAATTTCAAGGTCACACTTAGATTGCCAGTATATGACTTCCTATTCAAATTCAATCATAACTATGGGCGTATCTTGGCAGTTTTGGAAATAAAAGGGAACCAAAATTTGCAAAGTTCAGTTCAGGGTTAAAAGTAGGTCAAAGGTCAATTTCAGGGTCACATTTAGATTGCCAGTATATGATTTCCTATTCAACTTCAATAGTAACTATGGACCTATCTCTGCCAGTTTTGGAGATATAAGGGACTAAATGTTATAATTTTGGAGTTACAATAATGTGCCATAAATTTTGTACAGAAAAAATTAATTAAAATAAAGAAAAGGTCATTTTGGTCAAAATTCTTGAAATGGGAGGTGCTCTGAAGTTCCAGATGTTCAAATTTGATGAAATAATGTCATTTTTGACCACAGGTTGTCAGCCTCGCCAAGCCTTATGTTTTATTTTTCTGGAGTTCAAAATTTATTATCCATTACCGTACTGCACATTTTGCTTTCACCACCAATATGTACTTTTTGATACAGCGTAACTCGAAAACCGTATGGAATACAAAAAAACAGAGACCACCTCCAGTGTTGGGCTTTATATGCTCTACAAAATGCAAAAAAAAAAATGGGTCTCTAGCATTAACGGGTCCCGAATTAGAGACAGTTTTCAGTTTCGGTATCTTATGGCTGCTACTCCCGTGAAAATGCACCGATTGACCCCAAATTCACGGAGATGAAAGATGACCTGAAGGGTAACACTTTCCAATAATATTATTGGTTAAGTCTGTGTGGTGTCTGAATAACAGGGCAAAACATTTTTTTTTTTTTGTAAAAAAATCTTTTTTTTTTTTTTAATTTTGGCCTGTTTGACCTTGAAATAAAGGTCAAAGGTCAAATCCAAGGGCATATTTGAAATCTACACATATGACTTTTGGAAAGCCGTCTGTAGAAAATTTTCCCATAATTCCTTCCATAGGGTAGATAATTAGCATTTAATTTTGCCATTTTTAGACAAGGGTGCATTGCAATGAGTGCCACACCTAGACCCCAATACCGACAAAGCCCAAAATTTACGTGGAACGAGTTGAGATTATAGGTGACCTAAATTCAAGAGATGGGTACGGAGGCCCTTACCGTCTAGGAGGAGAAGCGGTAATGGTAGCTGGCCGGCGGAGCCGGTGGAGCCGGCAGAACGATCTGGACGGGACTAAAACCATGTGTACCGCCAGCGCTAACGCTGGTGGTACAATAAAAATAGCCATCAGATCACCAGCCAACCAACCTCATGTGCCTTAAAGGCATACAATGTGGGCTAGACCTTTATATAGTAAAAATGAATTTTCCAGGAAACTTCATCAATTTTCTCATTTCATCCCTATGTCCACTAACCAATTAAGGTGACAGCCAAGCATGTTCCCAAACATGTGACTTATTTCAGCAGACAGATGAGTGAAGAACAGGTTGTGTAACAAGCAGCAAGTAGATTGATGCTAAGTTTAGCTACAACAGAACAGATGCAATGGCCCCTATCCATGAGCAGATTTAATTACTTTGGAATCCAGATTTCCAAAAAACACATAACTAATATAATATGCATCCTTGGTAGAGTGTAGTTATCTGGCATTTTCTTGCCAAGTGAAATTTATCTTCCAAATCTTTTTTTTTTTCCAATCCATGAATCAATCCACTACTCATCCCATACACTAGGATTAGATGTTTCATACCATTTCTAATTAAAAGAGGATTTTGTTTTGATAAGTAAATTTGTATACATAACATTTGTAATGTGTTGTTGCCATATCAGCCAGCTCATTATTATTATTTCTATGTATTATTATGAACTGCTGGCCTGCAGGCCTGAACTACAGTTGACATGAAAAAGAAATTGCAAAAAGAAATATCGACATCAGTGACACTTTCAATTGAGTGGTTTTAATTAGGACAGATAAGCAGCTTTACAGAATAATGCTATGCATGTGAGTCATCCTGTCCCATTTCACATGGGACTGATCAACTAACAAGACTGAGAATACATGTAGTTCATCTGTTTTCTTACTAGACCAGCTGAATTACATGTAAGGAACCATTCCCATACCCTGTCATACTAGCAGGATTGATCTATCTTCGGGGGGTTCTCGCTAAGTTGCATTAGTTGAAGCATGCATGAAAGTTAAAACCCCCCCCCACAGCTTAATGGGCATGACAAACATTTAAGTTGCTTAAACTGAATGCAATTTAGTGTGAATCCCCTCAGAGTTAGATCAATCCTGCTAGTACGCTAATAGGATTAATCCATCTCTGAGGGGTTTCAGGATAAATTGCTTTCAGCTTAAGCTACTTATATGTCTGGCATTCCTACTGAAGCTGATAAACCTTAATTAATTACCCCCTAGCAGCTTCAGTAGGTGTGACAGACATGTAAGCCGCTTAAGTTTATTGCAATTTAGCGAGAATCCCCTCGGAGATAGAATGATCCACATTTAGTAGGATAGGGTCTGGGAATGGTCCTTAAGTCTCTGAGAGGGAGACATAGCATTGTCCACATAACAAAATTGTAAGTGCGGAGTATTAGATTAAAAATCTTAGAAAATGGCAAATATGACTTTGGCACATTTTCAAACACCAATTATATACCTTCAAAAATATTGCATTTTAGAATGATGAAAAGTTATGAAAGGAAACTCGAATAAAATAAGGAAATGAGAAAAATATCAAGCCATCATATTCAGCAAGATTTTATTGGAAAGTTGATGAAATAAAAATGAGATCTGTCAGATCTTCAAAGGCATTCATACCTTGGGCATTGAATAATTTGTAAATTTACTAGCCTTTTAATATGATTCAAATAGAACTTTCAATGCATCATAAATATCCTCTGTATTCCACTTTCATTTATTTAAACTCTCTGTCATTATATATCATTAAATTTTATTTTAATTAATTATATCAATTTATATGACTTATTGCACAATCCAACTACTTTAAGTTGCAAATAAAATTACCTCTTAATTATTATTATTATTATTTAAAAACCTTTAAATTTGCTTTACTTCAGTGACAAGGAGACCCAGTTGAAGAGGCTAATGGCCAGGGATGGCCTCACAGAAAGCCAAGCTAAGCTGAGAATACAAGCCCAAATGCCTTTGGAAGAGAAGTGCAAGAAAGCCACACACATCATAGACAATACTGGGTCAATTCAGAAGACTAGCAGCAGGACAAAAGCCTTGTTCTTGGAATTTAGGGCTTCAAACAAGCACTTAAAAGTAAGGATCTTTGTGCTTTTTGTAATATCTTTATGGATTGGACTGGCTACTTGGATGGTGGCTGTGGTGGTCAGGAGAAAGTAAACATCTTTATGGATTGGACTGCCTACTTGGATGGTAGCTGTGGTGGTCAGGAGAAAGTAAACATCTTTATGGATTGGACTGGCTACTTGGATGGTGGCTGTGGTGGTCAGGAGAAAGTAAACATCTTTATGGGTTGGACTGGCTACTTGGATGGTGGCTGTGGTGGTCAGGAGAAAGTAAATATCCAACAAAAGGTCACATAGCCTGCATATCATTTGCAGAAGGGTAGGATGGGAGGCTTACTGCCAAGTACCCTGGTATCTAATTCATGAAGTTGGGATTTTAAAGTGCATTAGGTCATATCAAAGCTGTCATTACACACAGTAGATATAAGTTTTGAAAACATTCCAATTTTAATGACAAACACTTTGTGCATGCAAAATTCACCAGAAACGGCCTCAGACTTAAGTTGATGTACAGTTAAATACTGTTGTCTTTTTAGATTGAGAGACAGTTAAATGCAAATGTCACTAAAATTTAATGTTCCTTTTAAAATCAATTTATATAGTAATTTAATAAATTGAAGTTGATTATTACATGATTAGATTTGTTTTGTTTGATGGTAAAAGATCTTGTAGACTTGGGCTTACTGCAGTATAATGATTCCATTAAAAAACATCCTATGTCCAATTTAATTGCAAGTAAATTAATGTTTTCCTCTTGCAAGTGATAAAAAAAATGCAGAACCATAACTCCAACAATACTCTTTACTGTGCAAGTTCTTTAACGTGATGTTTTTCAACTACATTAATTTTATTAAATTGATATTCAGTTGAGTTCAAAGACATTGTCTTTTGAGATTTCTAAATGTCTTCAATAACTGTACACAGAAAAAATAATAAGATAAGATGAAGATACATTCTTGTTAATATCAGTGCATGCATGACTTTATGCAGCAGTCAACTCTTGTGAAAACAATAGACAAGAAAGAGAGCTGGACAATGTCATTTCTAAAATCAAGTTGTGTTGATACTACTGTCAGAACAAAGAGAGAACTCCTCAGTTCAACACTTTATTGGGTGTCTGCCTTGGCCACAGAATGCCTAAGCTTAAATACACAGTTCCAACAGTACACAATTGGCCAATTTAATATTCAACAGATAACATACAATGTGAGGCCAGAGATCACCATAGCCAAATACATGGTGACTTATCTAAATTAAGCATTATTATGATTACACCTGTGTAACTACTTTTCTATAATCGTCATACACGTTCATATATATTCTGGTAGTGGCAATTATTCATGCAAGGTCATTTATATTATGGCAATGTTATTCTACACAGAGGATCGTCAGCAATTCCTAAATTCCTAACTATTATACATTTTAAGTCATTATACACAATGGAAGTACTGCAATCTCTTGCTAATATGCATTTTGGCCCATGATTTTAAGTACTAATGGTCACTAAAACATTATGGCATTTGTATATAGCAATAAATTAACTGTACCTGGACAAAGTTAGTGAGAACCTCCTAGACGTGACTGTCAACAGTATTTACCATCTTGCTTGTGGTCAGCTATTGCTTATCTACTGCCTCCATTTTGTTACATAACACATTTGAGACTTCTGTTAATATACATTACAAACACTCTTCACTCTTTGTTGTGTACTTGAACTTCAAAAGTGGATTCAAAGGTTGTTTTTTTTTCTTTTTTGGGGGGGGGGCTAAAATGTAGGGTTGCCATCCAATGTATCTGCATAAGACTAAGTGCCTTTAGACTCTCAGTCTAATGCTACATGTAACACGGACTACAGTACATCCAGTGGGCTCACCTGACAATTTGAAAAGCATCTTTTCTTTAGTTTGTTAAGTTTCTGACACACGAACTTGCTCTTTCGTAAATTTATATGAATTTCCGAAAACAAACATTGAGTGCTGGTTCTCATGATTTACTAATTCCTCATGAACTACAAGACACTTCAGTTCATTTAATTATAATAATAACTGTGTCATTCTCAGCCATAAGGAAACTGTCTGTCTGACAGGTCATGACCCACTGAAATGCCAGAGGACCTGATGGATGATATTGTTTTTCCCAAATATTAAATAGTTCATAATTTTTAAAAATTATCAATGGGCTGTTAATTTAAAAAATGTTGAGAATTTTTTGCATGTAGACAAAATGGTCCTTACAAAAGTTTCTAGGGTTCATCATAATAGGCAATAATTTTATAAACCAAAATCTCAAAAACTGTGGCCGCTATCAATGACCAAAGAAGTGACTACAAACAAAAAAGCAGACCAATGTACCTTTGAGAATATTTCCCAAGTAACAAACAACTGAGCAGACCAATTCACTTACAAACAAAATTTTAAAAGTAATAAACTGTATAAGCCAGGCAATGATCATGTGATGACTATCCCTACACATTGGTGGATCATAAAAGGTGACATTGATCAGATTAACAAAATCTTGAAGAATGAATGTATTCAGTCTCCCCTTCCAAGTCACAGGAAAACACCTTCAGTGGGGATCAGGTATATTTTCCTCTGGAGTACATTGTTTACTTTTGCTCAGCTTGACTTTAGACTTCCCTTTCGGTGCAATTTTTTCTTTTAGTTGTCCTTTTTCTTTGGGTGCTTTTTTTATTTCCTTCTTCCTAGTATTCTTCATTGATTCTGTTTTAGACTTCTTTCCTCTTTTAGAGACTGAAAGTATTAAATGAGAGATCTGAGTTTGCAAAATGAATGTTAAACAAAAGAAAACTGTCCACACAGCTAGAGGACCAGGACTGCCTCCTAGGTATGCCCCCTAGCTGGATTTGACATAACAAAGGGATAATAACATGCAAAATAAATACAAAGAGCTTTCAAGTATATTCAAATTAGTACTTGTTTTTACTTTTTAATTTCTGTAATAACTATAACCATTTTACTTTGATATGTGAGGTAAAACATATTTTAATCTGAGAAACAAAACTTACTGCCTACATATTATCTGCCATCTTTTTTAAAGAATATCACTCCTAAACCATTTAAAAACTAAGTATCAAATATGATTTTCATTAATAACAAAAAAAAAAATCAGTGCTGTTAACATGCCTTGAAATATGCAATAAGTACTGGGTCACTAGCCATAAGCTTGCAAAGAGTTCACAGTTTCAGGAATTAGTTAAAGCTGCTACTACATCTGTCACCCAAACACAAGCAGTATAAGGGAAACCCTATATGTAGGTTTATCATAATAGAACATCACTAAGCACAGCATAACATAGGTTTTAAAGGGGCCGAGATAAACTCTGGCTGTGAATCTATTCGACCTTCAGTCACCTTTCACTTTGTCAAATAAAATGTCACATTCAAGTTCAATAGTAATTATATCAGGCCTCCCCTTACCACCACAGTGCTGTTTAAATGCTTTTGTTATGGAGTTATGAGCCACTAATTAAAGACTTTCATTTAACAAAGGCATTACTTTGCTTTATCAATGATTGAATCTGAACTAAGACTTCTAGGAAAAATCGCTGGCAGAATTTTGAGTACTAAATGGTGTCATTAAATCCGCCTTGAAAAGGTGATTGTGGGTGCTCAGGTAAAGGAGAAATTTGAGAAACTGAATTTGTCCTTTTTACCCCAAAATTGCAATTATGACATCACCCGTAAGATGACACGTTTGATTGTTTATTTATTTAGTTACTAAACACTGAAGACTTATCTATTACCCAAAAGAATGTAAGTAAGGAGTTTTGGGCGAAAGGTGGCAATATCCTTTAACATACACCACATAATATCTTGCAATGATCAATTACCTTACTCCTTGTGTTAAACAAACAACACATCTTGTAATCACACATTACCTTTCTCCTCTCCACTGAGCCTGGGCATGTTAAGGATCACTGACCTCATCTCCTCTCTCAGGTTCACTGTCGGCACCCGTAGCACTTGAAGTAAGAAGAAATCCCAGTGACAAAGAGCACAGTCATTACAGCAAGACTAGGGCAGATCAAACATCCAATCCCTCATGCATGGAAACACATTTGATACAATTGCTTTAAACTACATAATAATGATGTAAAGACTTATTGCTTTTAAGGATTCAATCAGGAAATAAAGAATTTACTCCACATGTACTCCTGCAAAACTTGTTCTTGAGACAACATAAACATATGAAGGTGACAGTTCAACCTGTTGCCCTCTCCTTTGTTTTGAAAGGAATTACTACATAATTATTAAACCATGGCATAATTCAGTTACAACATCAATATACATAACTGGGTGCATTTCATTCACACTCAAGCTGACATTTTTTGGCATGTATTTCAATGAGATTTGGTTGTTGTATAATATTCATAAACCCATCATACTAGCTGAATCAATTTTACCCTGCAGGGATTCTCGCTAAATTGCATTCAGTGTAAGCGGCTTAAATGTCTGGCATGCCTACTCCAGCAGCTTGGGAGTAATTAGTGAGAAGCCCTGCAGAGTTAGATTGATTCAGCTAGTATGATGGGTTTATGGAAAGGCAGTGTAAGTCTCAGTCACATTCTAAAGATCACAGCTCCTGTCTGTACATACTTGAGGACTTCTTTCAGTCTGATAAGGGGTTTTCAATTAATCTGATACAAAACAATCATTTAAATCAGTAAGTTGATCTGCAGATTCTGGCATTTTTTGACTGACAAAATTCAAAGTATCTTATAATGGCTGTATCTCTTAATGGTGGAATGGTAGTATAATCACAATAAATTATTACAATAAATCTTCCAGCTTAAAATATTCAAGTGTCATGTCAAAGGTGCTCCCGATGGGATTTTCCACCAAAATGAATTTTCTTGGGATATATATATATAGGGACAATTTTCTCCTAATCAGGTATTAATGTTTCACACATCCTTGAATAATGCATTTCTTATAATAATACATTTCTTAATACAGTGCTACATGTGCATCTCAGCACTGTTTACATTTACATATAAGAACTAAAACTACAGAGATAAATAAAAAACTAACATTGAAGTAATAAGTACTAAAAGATAAAAGATTCAATTTTCTCAAAAAGCAAGCCTTTATTTAGAATAAAATTTGTGGGGTAGCTGTACTTATGTGCTGTTGTGGAACTATAAACCTACTAGTAATCATTCTTGTACTACTTATTCATGACTCTCAATTTCTAATCACTGCACTTACTGAGTATAATATGCACATGAGGTACCACTTATAAAGAACAGTTGGTGCTGGCCATATGAGACTCATACCCCATTCACACTACAGTTGCAAAAATGTGCATTTCTATAATTCGAATTTTTCATGAGGAATTCGATTCGGTATTGCGTTCACACACGCAAAGTGAAACCGAATCACATGTTGAAAATTTCAGGTTTAACTTCCTGTTTTGAACACTCGCGCATGCGCCGCACAGGATATCTTAAAATACCAACAAAAATTTGTGACGACAAATGCAACTCAAAAGACATTCCAGCATTCTTGAGAAGTATAAGATGGCAAAATAAGTTTCTGTTTCCTCATGTTGTAGTGAGTGGTGACCTCCAAATACGTTTGGTGCAATCGCTAAAGTAATAAACAAGCGTTCATAGATACCCGCACTTATCTGCACACATACACAGTAAGATCTGTACAGGTATCGATTCCGGTAAGTTATTCGAATCGCGCTTAGGAATCCACCTCGCTTGCAGGATTTTGAAAATTCACATTACAGAAATCCTCTTGCGTTCACACAACTGCATTTATTCGAATTGTGACCTAATTCGCAACTTATCCGGATAACTGAGCATAGTGTGAATGCGGTATCAGGCATCGTTCACATGAAAAATCCAAATTCCAAAAATCCATTGGTCTGTGCCCTGAATACCCTGTGGCGTAACTAACTAGCAGAGCGAGCGAGTTACTTCCAAAGCTGTAATTAATTCTCGGCTGTGCTCAAAGGAGATTCTGACACCTGGACGCATGCACAGTAGTATCTCTAAACTGTGTGTTGCACTCATATCTGTGGTGTGTACATGGACCTCATCTTCTTCGTCCTGTTGTTGCACAAAATTGACAAACATATTTTTCAAAGCAACTGTGACTGCCACTTTCTTCCTCTCTAACTTATTACTGCGCATGCGTCCAGGCGTCAGAATCTCCTTTGAGCGCAACCAAGATTTAATTACAGCTTTGGAAGTGAGTCGCTCGCTCTGCTAGTTAATTAGGCCACGGGGTATTTAGGGCACAGACTGTGATCACTAGATACCGCCAATGGATTTTTGGAATTTGGATTTTTCATGTGAACGCAGCCTCAGTCCAGACTAGCAGCAACCCCAGTATGTCAGCTGCAAGCAACATGAAGTCAAAACAGACCATGTAAGGGACAAACAGCTCAGCATTGGTGTCACAATGAAATGCAACTGATTGATTAATCAATTATACAGTACTGTGTTTATTTCCCTACCTTCTTGTTCTTCCATACTCTCTACCCTTGAACTTTTCCTGCCCCTTTTCTTCGGAGGAGACTTTGTTGGTGACTGCTCTGTACCATTGTGGACCGTTGCCCGACGATGTCTACGACCTCGAGATGGTTCTGCAGTTTTAGAGAATGCTCTCTCTCTGATTGACGCCCTTTTCCTTCCATGACAAACTGAGGGCTTAAAGACAGAAAAATATATCTAATCACTTTGGATGGTGTATTGTGACGCAAACTTCAAACTGAGAAAAATAAAATATTGAAAATAAAATCATACAAATGAAAAATTTTTATTTTTATATATAAATGGAAAAGTGTGAATTTATCATTACAGTTTTGTCAACAAAAACATAATACACGACTTTTAATTTATTGACTTTGCCTAGTTTTTTAGCTTTCAGACCAAATGACTCATTAGCCTGTCCAATACAGAATAATACAAAAGAGATATCAATAACGGAGTGATGTAATGTATTGGTATGCTTGTAAGCTGAGGTTTCATTTCTATAATTACTGCTGTATGCCTTATTGCAAAAGTACATTTCACTTGGCGAGCTCTTCAAAACGCAACAAGCAAAAAGTCTCTATGTTTAACAGTGCTAGCATTAGAAAGTGTTTTCAGTTGGGGTCATGTCGATACTCCCCCGCACAGATACTCCCCGCAGCGATATTCCCCCACACCAATAATCCCCTCTTAGTAAATTTCTGTGTATTATGCGCATCGATACGACCCCACACCAATAGATCCCTGCATCGATACATCCCCAGTAAAATTGCCGATGTAGGCGCACTGTTACTCCCCCACACCACTGCTTCCTTCCATCGATACTGAGGGGGAGTATTGGTGCGGGGATGTACCGGTGTGGGGAATGATCGATGCAGGGATGTATAGGGATGTAACCTTTCAGTTTTGGCATCTAATTTATGACCGATTCTCCTGTGAAAGTCAAAATAAACAACTTACATGTTATACTTCAATGGCTGCATAGCATCAACAGCTTGGGGAATCATTAAGTCTTAGTTTTACCAGCATACCATGGGTTTTTACTACTATACAATGGTCCAGTCCTAGCATTATGGGTACTAGTGATGAGTTTATCTTTTAGTGTAACTATGGGACAATTTTGCTGATATCCTTCCTGTCTCTACATACTAGGTGGGAAACTTGATTATTGATCAGATCTTTTGTCTAGTCTACTTAATTAAAAAAACTTGTCAAGAAATTTCAAACTTGAAACACACCTTACAATCCAATTTACATTCAGTTTTATATAAAAATTATTTCATACTCTCCAAAAAAAGGAGGTTAGTTTATCTGGGGTGAAACTTATGGTATGTGGCACGGTTAAGTCACCATAGTCTGTCAGTTTTCAAAGGGAATTGTGCCCTCACTAACTGCAGACAAAGCGTATATCTTTATAAGCAGGAGCTAACAGACCTAAGTAAAACAAGGAGGAGTATTGACCACTTCAGTGTTTTTTAACATTTCACACTGCAGATGGTCAAGAAAGGCCTATTGGGAAAAAAGTATCTACTGAGGCAAGCTGGTCACTGCTTGTAGCATGGAGTCTAGGGGTGCATTAATTCACAGTGGTAGTCTGGTAGGTCGTTTGGCATTAGGTAGTTGGAATAAACTCCACAGGGACCATCACTAAATGCCATCAAATTAAAAGATGAACATTGATTGATGGTGAGGAAAGATGCAGGTGATGACTATTTGTACAGATAAGCTGTGTTTGTATATCATTGTTATCTTAATAAACTAACTTTAAAAACCTTGGACCAGTTTGTTTTGAGTGAACATGGGTCTTCCAGTGGAATGTGCATTACAGCAGTTATATGTCAGTCAATAGAAATATGTCAGCTGAAATCAGCTAATCCATAATTGTTTGATAGTTCAGTTAATATTTGTTAGATTTTGTGTATCAAAATTTGCAACGAAACCTCCAAAAATTCAATAGCAAGTGGAAACGGTTCACACCAAGCACTGTAACATCACTCACATCTTCAAGTGGAATTGGATTGTTACAAGTGAAACATCTCATTTAGGCTCTATTCCTCCCAGTGACCCCAGGCATACCTTTGGATGTTCCACATCTGATTCTGCCTCAGACTCAGAGGTGATGCCACCATCTTTCTTTTGCAGCCTTTTTCCTGTTTTACGCCATTCTTCATGTGAAGCTACAGCCCTAGAACAAGCCCAATATGATTCCTGTTCACATCTCAGGGAACAATGTTGATAAAAAAATCAATAACAAACTTAACATAAGAACATTTATTGTGATCATTTGTTTCTGTTAAAAACATGCTTGTGAGCCTGTCTTCACCTGTATGTTGACAAACTTCCAGCATCAGTACTTCCCAGTACCCCTTCCCCCAGACTCTGGATTACACTCAGCTGGTATCACCAGTACCCCTTCCCCCAGACTCTGGATTACACTCAGCTGGTATCACCAGTACCCCTTCCCCCAGACTCTGGATTACACTCAGCTGGTATCACCAGTACCCCTTCCCCCAGACTCTGGATTACCAGACAGATAAGTGAAGACAGATTATGTCACCAGTGTTCAGCACCCAGGCATAATGCAAAATTGCTAGCTGCACTAAGACAAAGAAGTCCAGCAAAAATTTATGTATGGAATGAACTCTACCCCGTATCTTGTTTCTAGTATAGAGAACATTGTGCTCACCTTGTTAAATATTGTACAATGTCTGGCTGGATGACATCTAGTGCAGTGTCTGGTCTGTCCCTGCCTGCCAGCCTGCACTTCATCTCCACATACTGCTCATGGATGGTAGCCAATTGCTGAAAACAGCTAGATTTTTACAGTTCCAAAAAAGACTGTGGTCCAAAACATATAATAACAACATTGGTCTTTAATGTGTCTTAAAATGAGCACTAACAACATTTCTATACAAAAAATTCAAAATTTTGTCATCTGACTTTAAAATATAGGCAAAAGTTTAAATTCAACATCCACTTTGAAAATTTCTTGATCTGACTTTTAATCAGGTTTCTGAAGTAACTTTCCCCATGATTCAATTGGTTTGGAAGCTATTTCACATTTAATTTGGTAAATTTATGTGAACATTGCAACAATGTACTTTTTGAAATAAGAACAAAATACAGCCCTCATATGTACCTGTAGCACTGCACTTGCTGAGTTCTACAAAACACAACAAACTAAAGGTCTCTAGCTTTTAAGTGTGCTAAAATTTTATGGTGCCAAAATTGTGCCCCAAACGGAGCAGGTTCAAGTTGAGCTGAGATGTGGCCTAGCTAGTAACATAAGATGAGGATATCGGCCTCTCTGGTCTGGGAGGGAGTAGAGGCATACAAAATGGTGGCAGTTGTTTGGAGGTAACAACATGGTACTGACAGTGCTCCCAATGGTGGCACAAAAAAGTGCATCATTGATAAAAGATGATCAAAGTGTCAACTCTGTAAGCCTGAAGACACTTACTGCTATATTATCAGGCTGCAGGATCTCTGATACAACACTCTTCTCAACAGGCAGGCTATCTTTATTCAGGTCATCATCTGCTGTGTGAGTGGCCTGGAGAATATCACACTGGAAAATAAGAAATGCCATTGAAAGAAATAATCAGGCTGGTTTTCAAATGACCTGTAACTAAGTCATATTCATCAGTCTTGTAAGTAAACAATTTTCCATGAAATGTGTTATCTATATTGCATATAGTATCATATATGGTAAAAAAAACACTTGAACAAATTATCTGATCAAGCTGTTTTTATTTTTATTCTACCTGTATCTACAATCAAATTCATCAGTCCTTAAAGTATGAAGACAATAGGTCAAACTGTTTTCCATGAAATGTGTTATCAGTATTGCACATAGTAGAATATATGCTAAAAAAACAAAAACCAGCATAACTTCAACAAAAATGCTCTGTTCAAGCTGATTTTGCAACTCAACCTGTATTTTATGTATAATTATCAATTCTGTAAGTTTGAAGACAAAATGTCAAATGGTTTCCCACTTATTGTGTTATCTCTGAAATGGCACTGTTAGGACAGACCTAGGTGATGGCTATAGATCTACAGACACACTGTGTCTGTACATAAGCAATAACTGCAATAATATTTTCAAAATAATAAAAATGAAAACATCTGTAAACACAATGAATTTAAAGAAACAGATACAATACCATCTGAGCAAGATAGAATGAAAAAGAGTTTTTAATCTATAAAAAGTCAGAATTTTTTCACCTCAGTGATGAGTTCTGTCTCTAGCTAGCTATATAATTGAGCAACCATCAATACACCCTACTGTTTCTACAGACTTTCAATATTTTAAATTATTAACTTAACACAACAGTTCATTCAACAATGATAATATTCTGTAAGGTTCTGTACCATTGCTTTATGTTCAATTTTGTCTCACATAAAATAATGAGTTCGGTATTGATTTAAAGAGTTATCATTATGACTTACAGGGTGCGCATTGGCTACAAAATCAAATGCACGTTGTATCTTCAACTTCTGAAAAACATAGTCAACGTCCAAATGACCCTGGTTCTTTACCTCCCTGTGAAACTGCAAGATGCTCTGGAACTGTTCTCGAGTCACACGGACCTGCAATATAAAATAGTATAGTATAGTCATGAACTATGTGCAAGAAGGGAACTAAGAAAAGCTTTTTACTTCTAAAAGCAAATAAATAAATATCAAAGATGGTACATATACAGATAAAAAAAATCATAATCATCTGGGAAAGATGGATGGTACAAGAGAGTTTAAAATTTAGCAGTTTTCAACTCAGCAACAGGTACCTAAAAGAAGCATTTTTTTTACAGAGCTTATTTACTCTGTTAAGGTTTTCTCACAAGCCATCAATACACATTACTATATAATTATATGTACATTTTAAGTAATAACTGAACTAAACAACCCATCAACTGTGGTTGTGTTTTTGCTCGTCAATTTCACCATGTGAAACTAAATGGACTTGAGTAAAAATAACAATAATAATAGCATAACTACTAAGGTAGATTCCCTTGGGGCAACATGACTGCACAGTTTAACACTGTACATTCAAAGGAAATCCCTTTCAATATAGACAAAAAAGAGCATTTGTCAATCACCACACATTAAAATAAACATCATAAATGTTGTGCATGCCTGAAGACTCCTACCACTGTAGATATTGATATAGATATAAAGAAGAGAAGCTACTCCTGAAATTTCACAAAATTCCTCATTTATCTCCAAGGCTGACTTTTCAAGGATTTATCGAGAGAATAAAAATCTATTGACAGATTCAATTTTGGAAAAAAATCCTGATTTGATATGATTTCTTATTCAAGTTAAATAGTAACTATGGATGAATCTTTTCTAGTGTTGGAGTTATAAATGTTAGAAAATTTTTGAAGTGTATTTTATGGTGGAAACAAGGTCAAAAATCACGTTCAAGCCAATCAAGGTCATAATTGGATTTTCAATATTTGATTTCCATCTTAAGTTTGAATTAAGGATGAAGACAGGGTGGAGGTGCCTGGAATATGGCTATCTTTTCAATCAACCAATACATACCAACTTGTTATATAACAATAAAAAGCTTACTTCAATATCACATCATTTCTTATTGTGTAACAGTTACGTAAGGAGATATAACACTTTATAGGTTTTCTCAAAAAAAGTTTTAGACCAGTGTCAAAACTACCTCAACCCTCCACTCCTTAAAGATTGCATTTATTCATTAGATCAAAGCTTTGTCTGATGGAATGTGCCTGGGTTTTCATACTACAGAGGCTTAGCAAATGACGAACAACAAAGGTGAAGGACGAACATGTGCACTACGTCATCACTTTACGCTCATCATAACCTCGTTTTTCGTAGTTCGTCCTTCCAATGTATGTAGATTTTATGAATTCCTCGTAAAAAAAAAAGAAAGTACAAACTGAGTTTGTTCACACATCAATACTCGTTTGATATGCATTAAATCACATTTGTTTCTTCGTATGATTGCCTTCAGGTTGGTTGATCGAAAGTGAAAACGGATATAAAATCGTTTCAAACAGCATTTTTTCTCTCACCCTGCTCTATTGTTGTCATACTCGTTATTTGGCATTTGCAAAATGGCCACTATGACTTATGACGTACGAACCTAGTTTTCGTACTTCCTCTTTGTTGTTCGTTTGTTAAACCTTTCTAATACCAGCTCCATTTTCAAACTACCAGTGTTTCAGTCATGGTAGGGGTATTGTTGAAGTGGTAATTTTGTAAATTAGGATATGGTTAGTAATTAAACTCAGATCAAGTATCAGAGACATGCTTATCAGAGACATGCTTCTGTTGATGTCCTTGTCTTCATCCTACAATCACTAGTGAAGAGTGTTCCTGTCTTTATCCTACAATCACTAGTGAAGAGTGTCCTTGTCTTCATCCTACAATCACTAGTGTAGAGTGTCCTTGTCATCATCCTTCAATCACTAATGTAGAATGTATCTCCTCCAGAAGTGGATCTCTGATGTATAGTGAGGGTTGTAGCTCTTCAGACAGTTTTCTTTCTTGTACTTCCAAACCAATGGTATGATTTTGTTTTTGGATAGTTCATTCATAGACCAGAAAATTTGAACCAAAGTCTTTTAGCTTGGCATTCTGGACCCTGTAGACTGTTCCAGTAGTTCAGATGAGGGGTGGCCAGCACATGAGCCAGTCTCGCAGTTACTTTTCATTACCAAGTTTACAAATTTTGTACACTCTGCAAAAGCCAAATGGGCTGCTTTGTGTAATGGCACTGACAGATGAGTCTGAGGGCAATGGATACAGAAACGGGTACATAAAAATCAAAGCTTAGTGTCTGTTTCAAGATTATATATATATAGCCAACAGCACATTTTCATTTAGAAATTATGCAATAACCCTGTAAAGCAGGATATGAAGATATCCATATTTCAAAATAAATATTTTGCCCCCAAAACGGCGGTTAACACAATTATTTTGGAATTTGTATTTGCCATCACATCAAGTGACCTCCATAGATGGCTACATTCTGTAACAATCTCTTAAGAGATTATTACAAAAAACCAAACTTTTTAGAAAAAAAAACCAGGGACTAATTTTGAATGTGGGAATGGATTCATTTACAATTGGTCAGTATGGGAAAATTGTCCTTTACCCCAGGAAAATTCATTTTTTGGCCAAAATAAACAGTTGTTATCCCTTCAATGTACATAAAACAAGGTTGCAATGTAAATGCAATGAAATGCCTCTTAAACATCTCTAAAGAGTTAAAATTTAGCATTTTATAACCAAATGTAAACTACTGAAATAAGATGAAATACATGTTACTCAATCTGTTCCTTAAAGACTGACTCATAGTAAACCACTCAGGATTTAGGACATTGGATCAGTTTCATGCCATCTTAGTATAGTGTCAAAGCGATCAGTTTTATTTGCTTTATTGAGCAACACAAGAGTCAGGTCTGAAAATGTAAAGAATTGTCTCATTTCAAGACAACAAACTGGACAAGAAAGACCATGTCTTTCCTATGGCGCGACTTGCGGACGACTGATCTCTTTCCCTCGTGTAAAAGAGACTTTGGACAAGGAAAAACACACACAAAAGAATACGAAAATACACAAACGAAGACAAACGAATACAAACACAAGGAGAACACAATGAGAGTCCAAGGAGAGTACAATTAAAGCACTTCGCCTGTCACATATGTGGTCATCACCAAACAACCTTTTAACTAACAACATGGCCTGTTGAGCAATCTGGTCATGGGGAGCTGTTAATTAAGATTACACAAAGCTGACCCAGGTTGAACCTGCTGTGTAGCTGTCTACCTTTGCCTTAGGTTTCAGAGGCTGTGTATGGTAGAGGCCATAGAGCAGGAAGAGGCCAGCCACTTGGACCTGGAAGGTTTGAGATGACCCCAAGTACTGCAGCACCACTGAGAACATGTCCTCTGTGAACTGGAACAGAAAGATGAGAGGCCACAAAAAGCAGAAATAATGACACACAACATAGGTTATTTTTTCAATTTTGATACAATACTACACAATGCTTAACAGCGAAATCAACATCAAAAATTGTATTATGCACAACAGGCAACTTAGATATTAAGAATATGTAACTAGCATAAGGCTTCAGGCACATGTGAGTTCAAATTCACACGCTGGAAATGCCAGGTGAGAACAACACAGAAAATAATGATGAACAGAATAGGTAACTGTCAATTCTAATGCAATGATACATTATGCTTAACATCAAAGTCAACATATTTTAATTATGCACCACAGGTAATACACATGTTAGGAACATGTAACTTGCATAAGACTTCAGGCCCATGAAGGTGATCATAGGTGCTTTCAATATGATTGGTAGGGCAGGAGAAGTCACCACCTATCAACTTTGGAATATAATACAATGTAGATCAACTAGTGTTAAACCTTCAGTCATTTTGCTCTCACCTCTTTTAGTTCTCTCTCTGTTTGTCTGCCACAAAATATCAGAGACATTTTCTTTTCACGCCATATTTCAGCAAACTGCTCATAACGCACAGATTCAGTGGCAGTGAATTCTTCAACAAATGATTGCATGTCAACAAGCACCCCAGCCAGTGGCGTGTACACCCTCTCCTTCACCATCTTGGAGCTTTTTACCCTGGCTTGTACTGGGACCAACTGCCACCTGTAAAAAAGACAATGTTACTTCTACTAGCTCACTGTATTAAGAGAATGTTACAATCTTATGTCTAAAACAGTTTTAGGCAAAACAGGAGTTCCTTTAAATTTCTGTTTAATGCCATGTAGAGCATGGAAACACCGGTCTGGCTAAATTGCGCAATACGCCGCAATACAGCGCAACACAGCACAATACACTTAAAATAACAAGTCCAGTCACAAGTAAACACAGAAAACGGTAATTCTCAACAAAATAAGGTGATAAAAAAGCAAAATATTTGACTAGATTATTGATGTCATTGATATAGCTAACACATTGGTGCTACTTCTAATATCGTCGGGTCGGCAGCCATGTTGGCTTGTGGCTCTTCTTGACAATATTACCGGCCAAGAAGAGCCACTAACCAACATGGCAGCTGACCCGACGATAAAGAAAATGTGCAAATTTGTTAAGTTTTATCAAGGCTATTAATTATTTAGTAATATATTTCGCTCTCATATCAGCCTATTTTGTTTGGAATGACAGTTTCCCCCTTTTACTTGTGACTGGACTCATTTTTTCAAGTGTATATTGCCATTGGGCAATTTAGCCCGACCCTGGAAACACCTACTATTTGTGGCACAGTTGGAGTTTTCAACAAATTGTATTTAAATTTGACTGTGGGAATTTCCAAATGCATGGAGAGTTTCTATAACATTTCTGAGACATTTAAAGGTTTTCTAGCTGGAAAGTCACCCAATATGAAACATGCTGCCTGTACTTGGACCTTAAAAATTGTGCCTACCTTTTATCCCAAGGATCCTGGACTAATGAGTCTACGTAAGTGCAGAGCGGATAAAAGATTGGTAAGCTAATTTTCTGCAAGATATGGGCAGTGTCTAATATTTCTTTTACATTTTAAGAAAAACCAATCAGCAGTTAGCTTTTCTGAAGTTTTCAAAAAAGTAATTTTGGGGCCCTACTGAGTCTCAGTATTTCACTGTCACATCATCATGTACGGGATGTACCCCTGATATAATCACATTTCACATAGTCAATGTTCAAAATCAACTGATTAAAAGTTTATCGATTATGAAATCAAAGACAGCTGCCGTAAACCTAGTTAAATACACTGTTGGGGAAAATAAACCTGAGCAATCCTACACGAATCCCACTTACTGTCGTCGTTTCCTTCGTACTCGGTTGTTTTGGTTTACGCTTCTAGCCTCGATTTCAAAAATGGGTGCTTAAAACATTAAAAATAATTTTGTCAAATTGAGGGATAATATTGTGTCAGAAACACTCAAAAGTAAAATTCCATATTTTCATGAAAATTCTTTGAAATATATGTGTCATGACAATGCCTATAATCGTGCCCTTGTTAACTTTTTTTTGGCTCAAGCGATGCGTCCCAGCTAATGGAGTAAACACTGCAGAAGTGAATTTCCCTTTTAGGGCAGGTGCAGTATGTAAGATATATGATGCATATAATATATTAGAGGTCTCTGTATGTTTTGATAAGTGTTGTCGTGTACAGGGAGTAAGTGAAACTTCCTTAGAATATTTTATGGGGAAAATATTAGGCAGTTAAGAGCTTGCAAAATCTTTGAAATTTATACTACAATACATGTACTGTAGTACTCACCAATTGTGTTATAAGCCTGAATTATGACGACAAGGAAAATATCTGCTACTGCTACGTAGATATCTTGCATCAGTAGTGGTGTTTGCATTTGATCAGGACGTTTTGAGACGTGATCTTATTAAGTGGTGCTAAAAGGAAGCAAAGCTATCAAATGTAAAGACTAAAAGCAGAAATTTATGATGAAAAAATAGTAGGTAATTTTGTGCAAGATCTTTCCAAGACATTTTCACAGACGCACATAAACAGATATCAGTACAGTTTTTATGCCTATTTAATCACAACAATAATTAAGTTCTATTGTTGTGAGGCCCAAGTTGGACATTTTGTATTCATTTACAGATTTTTTTTTTTTTTTTTACAAAACTGATCAGTTACTGTTTAAAAAAAAGTGGGGGGGGGGTGATCATTAGATTTTGCATAAAATTAGTTATGAAGTTATTAAATTAAAGATGATTTCTGTTGTAAAGATCTCATCAGAATGTGCAATTCAATTGATGTAGCTCCTACAGGACACAAATATTTATATCACAGCATTATTTCTTGTTTCAGGTCTTCAACTCAAAATGCAGTGAGTTTGCAAGAATTTCTGACGTAAAGGCTGCCTTGATCTTGCCAGAATATTGATCTAGATTTCACTTTCTAAACTGATATTTCTATCGGATGAGATCACATACAGTTTATAATGAGTGACCAACTGTCTCCAAACACATACAGCTTTCCCTCCCAGCACACACTGCTGGTGATTGGACTGCAGGAGCTGCAGGAGAGCAAGCAGCTCACAGATGTTACTCTTGTTGTTGAAGATAAGAAGTTCCCTTGCCACAGGAGTGTGTTAGCTGCAAGCAGCCAGTATTTCAGGTGAGTCTTAAGCACAGTAAGACCTGATTTCTCGGATCAGTTTAACTTCCATTATAATTAGATTTACTATGAAGACTGCTATATAGGGTGTAGTAAAGGTTGAGAACCAGAATTTTCTACTTGAATAATGTTGATAGTTACCAGAAGTTTAAAAAAGATTTGGAAATAGGGTGTCGAACTTCAACACTGCATATTACTGAGACAGGCAACCTAAACTCTATTTCTTCCACTAATAAAAGGGGATTTAAATAATAACCATCCAAACCTAAATAGCAGTAGTTAGGTAGTTTTGAAGACAACTGGGAGGTTGTCTGACTGATACCCTGCTGCTGGTATCTTGTTATTATTAAGTGGCAGCTTTGAATACAAACAATTATTCCAGTTCATGTTGTGTACTTTGTCTGTCTGTGCAGGGCCATGTTCACAGGAGAGACAGTGGAAAAAACCCAGTCCTCTGTCAGCATCCATGGAGTGACAGCTGAGGCCATGGGGAACATCATCAACTTCATCTACACGGCAAATATAGAGCTGTGTCCTGAGAACATCCAGGACTTGTTTGCCACAGCTAACATGCTGGCTATGACACACCTGTGTGAGTAGATGGATGATTTTCACATTTCAATACTTTTGAATATATATTGCCCTGTTTTTCCAGTTGATACACATGTAGTTATTTCGTAAACTTGTTGAGTCTGTACCTGAATATGCTGCCTGAGGTACTGGTCAATAGACACATGGGTGTGTCAGCTATTAAGTACATAAACTGAAAACTCTATAAACCTTTTTAAAATTATTTCCTGTGTTTTATTATCCCTTTTCTGTTCCTAATCCAGCAGGAGGCAGTACTGTCACTCTGATCCTCTAGTTTCTGATTAGTTAACTATGAGTTGATAGTACCAGACACATAGTTGTTCAATGTGCTGTTGCATTTTTTGGAAAAATTTTAAATTCACTACAACTGTGCCAAATATACATGTACATGTACTAAACGGGGGTGGTGAGGGGGTACAGTAGATATCCCATTGATAAGTGTAATAATCTTATGCTATGAATAAGATTATGCAATAATCAGTAATCTTATGCTATGAATTAACATGTACCTCTTTCCTAAACTGGCATTAATGAGTATTGTTTGTCGTTAACTGATTCACTTTAAATGTCGTGACAGTCAGGTGTTATGTAATTGTTTAAATTTCTTACCTTTCAGGTGAAGTGTGTATAAGATACATGCACAACCACATAGGCCACAGTAACTGTATTGAGTTGTACCTTCTGGGTCATCTCCATGACAGCCTGCTGCTGAAGGACGCCTCCAGGGCCTACATCCTGGACAACTTCAGTGAACTGGAGCTCAGCAAGAATGAGGCTTTTGCACAACTTCCTGTAGACTTTATGGAAGATTTGCTAAGTAGCGATGAGCTAAATATTGAAAAAGAGGAGCTTGCTTTCAATGCCCTTCTTCAGTGGGTTAGCTGGGATGTTGTCAATAGAGGTCAGCACTTGCTGCATCTTCTGAAATGCTTGCGATTTCCATTTATGTCAGGTGAGGTGATACAGCAGACAGTGCTGCCATCTGTGAAGGCTGTGACCAGTGATCCTGATGTGCTGTGTTATCTTGCTGTTGTCACTAACACTGGGGAGAGAGACCAGACTGCTGGAGACCACATTGAGGAGTGCACTATGGTGCCCCGTGTGGGAATGTACAATGCTGAACTTATTGTGTTTGTTGCAGGCAGTCAGAAAGAGGAGACACGCTCAGTGTGCTGCTTTGATCCAGTCACCAAGGAGAATTACTGTGCAATTCCTCCCAATGTCAGCTTTGACTTTCGCTATCGCCTTGACTATCATGAGGCAGTAGTGACATCACAGAATCAGATTTTTTGTCTAGGGGGAATTTTCTTCCCAGATCACAAATACACAGGGCCAGCTTTGAACTCAGTGAAACTGTACAATGCCAGGAAGATGCAGTGGATAGACAAGCAGTCCATGAGAGAACCAAGGTGTGCATTCGCTGCAGTAGTACACCAGGGCAAGATCTATGCCATAGGTGGAAAACCTGCTTATCTTGATGCTGATCCGCTCTCTAGTGTGGAGAGTTATGAAATAGAGGCTGACCACTGGACTATGGTCTCACCTATGCCGTTTGCACTGTACCACCATGCTGCAGTTGTTTGTCAGGAAGTGATCTATGTCATAGGAGGATTGGATGCCAGTAGTCGAGTGACTAATGTGTTTCTAAGCTATGATCCTGTCATGGACTCCTGGACAACTGTTGTCCCACAACCCAAAGTCCCACGTGCTGAGTTTGCAGCTGCAGTATATGAGAGACGAATATACATAGCAGGGGGGAGGGCACAGGAACGGGATTCAACATTATCCTCTGTGGAAGTTTATGATCCTGTTGAAAATAGATGGCGCTTTGGACCTGAGCTCCCAGACGACAGACGGTCACCACTATTAGTTGTGTTTGATGGGAAGTTGTACATGCTAGGTGGGCTGCAAACATTATGGAATCGCCACAGCAGAGCTAGGCAAGAGGTTGATCGCAAAGACATGCATGTGCTTCATGCATCCACAAACCAGTGCTCCTCCAGGCAGTGGACTAGGTTTGCAAAGTTTGTACGGTATGCCAACTCCAATGCTTGTGTACTGGCAAAGCTGAATACAAAAAGAATGGGGAGGAGTGAGTACATTTGGTCTGAAAGGCCCAAAGATTCTCTTCTCGATTTTAAGTAGCACAAGGGGGAGGTTATGCAGCTCTGTTTACACTGGCAGTTGGTGTGCTATGATGCATATGTGGAAAACAAGTACTTAGTGTTGATTTCTGTTACCTGTTGCAGTAAGAAGCCAAGTGAGGAACTTCAGAAAATGATTGGTGCTCAACATAAGATAAAACCATTAATTCCTGCATAAGCATAGATAATAATGAATGTTACATGTGACATTATGCCAGTGAGTAACATATAATTAACAAAAAAGATATGATTATACAGGAAACTGGTCAGAGAACGGGGTTGCTGTAACACAACTCCATCTATCTGTATGATAATTCTTGAGATTGAAGCCTCGATATCTTGACAGTGTCTCCTGTGGTCCTACTATGACAGCATGCACAGCTTAACTTGTAATCAACTAAAGGTTTTTTGTTGCTTGTTTTTAAGTGTACTTTTACACAAAATGCTTTATATATGAAACACCTGTATTTTGGGTCCTGGTTTGAAATTAAAGTAGCTTTATATTATTGCATAATTTTGGTGGTGCTTTAGTATACAGTAGATTAATATTAGCTGTTCATAATTTTTGTAGAATACTCTTTTTAACATATTTAAAATTACTTTTTTCATATTGATGATTATGTGAGAAAAGATGCGACTCATTTATGTAATAAGTGTAATAAAGCAAGTTTTGCATCTGATATGTACTTGATGTTTTTTAAAGATTAGGTTTTGTGGATGTTATCTGAACATGAATCTGAGTTCTTTTTTATGTTGAGATTAGAATTTAGTGTAGTATTTTAATTAGACATCTAATTACGGCACTCCTTACTGTCAAATTATCCATAAAATAGTAGATGACCTGGAAAGTGACATAAGTTGACCCGTGGAGAACTAAAAGACAATCTTAAAGGGATAACAACTGTTTGTTTTTGGACTTGGGGTACATAGAAAAACAACGGTTTTCTCCCACTTATCAATGGTTAATGAATCCATTCCGACATTCAATGTTAGTCCTTGTATTTTTTTTCCTAAAAAGGTTTTTTTTTTTATTTTATGAAGGAATAGCCATCTATGAAGGTCCACTTTATCTGATGACAAGCACAAATTCTAGAATAATTTTGCCAAAACGAACAGTTATTATCCCTTTAAATGCAAAGTCGAGTTGCAAATATTGCACAACAGGTAGTATCAATAAAAGTGAACTGTTACGTGCCCTGGGGCGTTCTAAGTCCCACAATGAAAATGCCAATATGTGAAAGATGAAAATTTCACAAAAATGTACAACTGAATAACATGGTCAATAGGATTACAGTTTCAGGACCATATGTGAGAGTTCAAATTCACATAATGAAAATCCAAATATGTGAAAAATGATGACAGTGCATAAAATAATATTACACAATGTTTAAAGACAAAAACCAACACAACTGCTAATGTGGAAATACAGAAAATGCACAGCACTTCTGGTGGATGGGAGTTAAAAGTGACATCTTAAAGATGCTAGTGTTTGAAAAATAAATTTAAAAAAGTAAAATAAAACATAAAATATTCCAATAAAGCTGCTATTCAAACTTTTAATCTAGCTGTATAACTATAAACATGATATGGATAACCCTATTGAATTCAAGAATAATAATGAACTGTTATTCATCTTTAGCATTAATGTAAGTGTTACACAAAATTTTTCGTTTGTAAACTTATTTTCAATATTAAACAACATTTACCTGCATAATTATCATTGATTCCTAATTATGTGACACAGTTAAGAGAGCTAAACCTATGGGACTTTACAATGAAATCTCAACGTGTTTTATGAAATTTCATATAATGGCCACTTGAAAATTTATTAAGCAAATTACTTTATAACCCTGAATTTAGCTGGTGATCACCCAAGGGGCAATAACATATTGACCGCTATCCATGTACATTTATTGCACCATATAGCACTCTATAAAACTGCATTGCTTCCAAAACAGAAAGCAATCACACTGATTTTCCAACACAAGCTGCACTTCAGACCTATAAAACTTTTCTGTAAGTTTGAGTATCATAAGTAACATGGTTTACCCTTAATCGCTATCCCGGCAGCAGTGTCCAAAATAGGGTTTTCCTCAACATTCATGCATTTATAACATAATGCTTAACAGCATAATGATCATCAATTTATAATAAATAAGTAACAGTATCATGGATATTCAGAAAATATGATTAGCAAAGGTCTTCAAGCCAATAGAAGTTCAAAGTCACATCTTAAAAATGTCGTTATGTGAAAATTTTAATTCTCACAAAAAACTATATAATTTCCAGAAAAGTTAATTGATAAAAGAGGTTTTCCAACTGAAGCAACATTTTAGTCCTATGCAACTTTTCTGTAAGTGACATGGTTTTCTTTAAATGGTCACTATGGAGGCAGTGCCAAAATGGGGTTGTCTTCAATTTTGATGCAATATTACATAATGTTTAACAGCATAATGACCATCAGTTTTTTGATAATAAAATAAAAGTATCATGGATATTCAGAAAATGTGATATGGGAAGGTCTTCAAGGCCATGGAAGTTCAGAGTCACACTTTCAAAATGCCAAAATGTAAACGAGAGATAACTGTACTGAAACGATTTTCTTTCCATTTTCAACACCTTTTTTTACATAAAACAAAATAATCAATTTACTGTCATTTTTAAATGATCAACTAGGAAAATTGTTGACATAGGAAAAATATCAGTAGAACAATTTTAAATGTCCAGTTTTCTCCATTCGGAGATTTTTAACATAGTGAATGATTGAATCTGACAAACTGTAAAGATATGAGTTTATTTCCATTTTTGACACTTTATTACACAATAACAAGTTTACTGTCATTTTTATATAATCAACTAACAATATTGTTAAGAAGCAGAAAATGTCAAAACAACACTTTTACATATCTAATTAGTTCTATAATGAGACTGTTAACATGCCTAAGAATTAAATCTGAAGAAAAACCGCTTAATACTAAAAAAGGCATAACTTCATCAAAACTTAACTGATCAAGTTTATTTTCAAACTTGATCAGTATACTAGTCAGACTGATCACTCCTGTGAGTTGCAAGACAAAAGGCTGATCGGTTTTCCTTAAAATGCATTATCAATGTTGCATATATGCTGAAAAAAGTGAAAAAAACAGCATAACATCCATAAAAATGACCTGATCATCCTGATTTTCGAACTTGACCTGCATATTATGAATGTTCATCAGTTCTTTATGTTTCAAGCCAAAAGGTAAAATGGTTTTTCATTTATCATGTTATCGGTGTTGCATATATGCTGAAAAAAGTGAAAAAACAGCATAACTTCCATAAAAATGGCCCATTCATACTGATTTTCAAACTTGACCTGCGTATTATAAATATTCATCAGTTCTGTAAGTTTTAAGCCAAAAGGTAAAATGGTTTTTCATTTATCGCATTATCGGTGTTGCATATATGCTGAAAAAAGTGAAAAAACAGCATAACTTCCATTAAAAAGGCCCAATCATGCTGATTTTTGAACTTGACCTGCGTATTATAAATATTCATCAGTTGTGTAAGTTTCAAGCCAAAAGGTAAAATGGTTTTTCACTTACCGTGTTATCGGTGGTGAAAGTGCACGGCAACGACGGCAACAACAGTGACAACAACAGACGCAGGTGATGGCTATATGTGCAGACACATCTGTGTCTGTACATAAAAAGTGACAAGCGAAGGTCTTCAGGCCTGTGGAACTTCAAAAGTCACATCTTGAAAACACCAAAATGTAAACAAGAGATAACTTTACTAAGTTTATTTCCATTATCAANAACTTGACCTGCGTATTATAAATATTCATCAGTTCTGTAAGTTTCAAGCCAAGAGGTAAAATGGTTTTTCACTTACCGTGTTATCGGTGGTGAAAGTGCACGGCAACGACGGCAACAACAGTGACAACAACAGACGCAGGTGATGGCTATATGTGCAGACACATCTGTGTCTGTACATAAAAAGTGACAAGCGAAGGTCTTCAGGCCTGTGGAACTTCAAAAGTCACATCTTGAAAACACCAAAATGTAAACAAGAGATAACTTTACTAAGTTTATTTCCATTATCAACATGTTTTTACATAAAATATCCCATTTACTTTCATTTTTATATGATCAACTAAGAAAACTGCTGAGATGGGGAAAATATCAATAGAATTTTAATGTCTAATTTGCTCCTTTCTGACATTCTGAACAAAGTGAAAGATTGAATCTGACAAACTGTAATGATACCTGTACTTCTTTCCATTTTTGACATTTAATTACACAATACACTATTACAGGTTTACCATCATTTTTACCTAATCAGCTAAAAATATTGTAAGGAAGCAGAAAATGTTTAAATAACACTTTCATATATCTAGTTAGTTCAATATTGAGACTGTTAACATGCCTAAGAATTGAATATGAGGAAAAATCACTTAAATACAAATGAAGGCACAACTGAAGCTATCAAGCTTATTTTTCGAACTTGATCTGTAGGCTATATTAGCCCTATGAATCGGTAATACAAGTTTTAGATATGACACGGTTTTCATGTTATCTGTATAATGGTGGGTAAAATATACTGAAAAAAACAGCAACACTTTTGTAAAAATGGTCCGATCAAGCTGATTTTCGAACTCGACCTTTATTTTAGTAAGATTGATCACTCCTGTGAGTTGCAAGACAATAGGCTTATCGGTTTTCCTTGAAATGTGTTATCAGTGTTGCAGATATGCCGAAAAAAGCAAAAGAAAACAGTATTACTTTGGAATAGTTGGCCCGATCATGCTGATTTTTAAACTCGACCTGCGTTTTATGAATATTCATCAACTCTGTAAGTGTAAAGGTAAAACGGTTTTTCACTTATCGTGTTACCAATGAAAGTGCACGGCGACGACAGGCGCAGGTGACGGCTATATGGGCAAACATCTGTGTCTGTACATGAAAATCAAAACTCTTTTTATACCCGGGTCAGGACGTTGCCTGGTTTTATGGAAGACAGACCGCGTGATTGTAAATTATCTATAGTTTCTTTAGTTCCCGAGTCCCCAATGATTGATGTGGATTCTGGTCTCTTTCCTGGCGTTATAGATCTCGCCTCCCTATTCCCTTGAAATTTCTTTAACATTTGATTAGCCAAAATTTCTTTTAAAAAACAATTAATATTCCAATTATTCAGAGAATTAAAGCTAAGGTGTCTAAGTAACCCAAACGTAACTTTCATCAGGTCCCCCCCCCCAAAAAAAAAAAAAAAAAAAAAAAAAACTTCTGTCCTTCCTCATGATTTTTTAACGGGATGGTCGATTGAAAGGCCAAATCTTTTTTATTAAAACTTGTTAGGAGTTTTAGAGCGTCGTTTTCGCAAGTAGTGTCTTGTAGATTTAAACCTTTGGAGAAGTTGATTTGAACAGGGGTGAATTTCGATTTTTTAAATTTTGATGGATGAGGGCCGGCAAGATGTAATAATCTCCCTGGTGATCGCAACCATTTTGTCGTAAATACGTCCCCGGTGAAGCCTTCGCGAATTTTTCAGCGTTGTTATCACATCTAGTATACAAAGTCTCTCTCCAGGAAACAATAACACACTGTCCAGGATTTATTTCTGTAGCGTATCCTTTGTCTAAACTCAGTGGCGGATAAAGAGGGGGGTCAGGGGGGTCCTGCCCCCCCCCCCCTTCGAT